AAAAGATTTTTTAAGACGATCTGTCTTACTAACAGGTACATTAAACCTTCGTTCGCTCCTTAAATCGTTATGATGATGTGCTTGCGGTGGAAGTAGGCCACTGAGCTTATGATTCGGATTATTAACAATATCTTCAAAAAGATGACTTGATAGTTGGGCTCGTCTGTCGAAGAGAGTGGAAATGCCGGCGTCTTTTAGCGCGTCAGCATATTTCAAGTCCGGGTGGATGATACGCATAGCGCGCCTTTGGATACTCTCAAGTTCATTTGACAGATATTTAGGGAGACTCCGATGAAATAACTGGCACGAATATTCCAAAAGTGATCTGATGGCACTACAGTAAAAAGTGATAAGATCTTTTGGACAGATCCCGGCTCTTTTTAATTGTCTCAAAAGATACAGTCGTTTTGCGGCTTTTACGATGACAATACCGATATGGTCGTTCCACTTAAAATCGTCCCGGATTGTTACGCCAAGAATTTTGGCCACGCTAACTCTTTCTAACTGGAAATCATTCGGTTCGACTAAAGGGAATGATGGAAGGTTTCTCTTGAAACATGATCGTACATCTTTACACATAGTTGGTTTCAATTGTAATCGATTTTCTTGAGACCATGCATCGATATAGTCAACAGCTTGCTGAAGAGAGCTTTGCTTGGAGGGTGGTATCACTTCAGAGATTATGCAATCATCGGCGAATTTCCACATAGGTAAGGATTCCTGATGTAGCTTGAGATCATTGATTAGTACTAAAAACAACCAGGGACCAAGACGAGTTCCTTGAGGCACTCCTGCTGGGACGTCAAGCCAATCGGAAACGATGTTGTTTAGTTTAACCCTCTGCTTTCTATGTCTTAGGAAATCAATTATCCAATTGACGGCCGTGGGTTTTACGCCTATACTAAACAGTTTGGCAACTAAAATATTATGGTCCACGAGGTCAAAAGCTTTGCGGAAATCTAAAAGTATGGTTCTTACGGTGGATGCAGTGCCGTCAGTAGATTGGAGATTAAAAAAATTGAGATGGAATAACAAATCGTTCTCATGAAAATAACTGATTTTTTCATTAAATCAAAAAAATGTTGCATTTTATTAAATGGATTGTAACAATAAGTATAATTACGGCTTTTCTTCCACTATTTTTAACTCAGTTTGAAACTTCAAATGCGATATAATTTTGGTTTGGACCATCTAAGCTGACTGACATCAACTTGCTATAATTTCTGTTTACATTACATCGCAATTCGATGACACTCTGGCTCAGACACCAGAATGTTTTGACGATTTTTAGCATTCGGTTAGGATTTTCATACAACCTGGTCTCTTTTAAAATACTTTTAATTTGTTCTTACGTGGTTTTCCAGATGTAGTGACGACAACATTAAAGTTTAAAGAAGAAAATTCTAACATTTAAATCGACTAAACAATAACATAGTAAACTTGCATAATTAAACAGCAACTAAAAATGATAGGTTTTACTAAATCTTTTCCTGTGCAATTATTCTTAGCATTGGAGACAAGGATAATAGTTCGTTTGAAAGAGAAAAGAACAGGCTTTGAAGTAAGCCTAAAAGCGTTTAACTAGAAATAGTATTTCGAAAGTTATTAAGCACAAAAGATGAATTGCGTTTATTTTGATACACCCTGTATATATAGTTATTCATGCTATAAAGACGTTTTAAATAGCGATGTTGTGATTGCGCAAAACATAGCTAATAGGGAATTGGTCGATAAAGTCTTCTTGATTAGGCTGATATAAAAAGATGTAGCTACTATATAAACTACCACACGATATTTGGAAGAAATTAGGTGAATAAAAGATTTACAAGCAAATATATATTATATATAACATGTAAATTAAGGTATCGGCTTACTTATAAAATGAACTTTAAGGAAGCCAAATACTTCGTGCTTATAATCATAGGATATGTGAGCGTCTTTTTGTTGGTGCATGTATGTAGCACTACATGAATGATAAGTGAGTTAGCGTCATATAATGACTTTAAATTCACAGGATTTTGTGCATTTCAAGGAAGTACATGTTTATGGAGTACATTTTAAGGAGAGCATCAAAAGTTTCAGTATACCAATATATCGTCATTATTCTGCTTTCTGCACTCTGCAATATACCTTAATTGCTGCGTGCATGCTGTGTTTATTTGCTGTTCAAACTGTTTATAGTTGGTTTATATACCTTTACATCTTGACCTTTTACTTTAACAGATATAGGCCTATCGCTATTAAATCCGTTGTGACTGCATCTTTCCCTAATATTCCGGAGCTAACTAATATATTAATTATGGAAAATATTAGTAACAATAATTTAACTCAGCATGCACTGAGCATTTTAGATCTCAGTGTCGTGTTTCACAGGCATTAATATAGAGGAAATTACCAATACGCTATAATGGACACCCGATTTTTGATACTGAGCCATTTACTATAATTGAGACAATATAGCACTCGCGACAGGTTCCATCAACACAGATAATGGTGCTAGTTCTTGTTTCGTATAGCTACAGGTACTATACGTTTAGTTTTAGGCCTTATAAATATAACTGATTGCGTATATAGTCGCGTTTACAGTAGAGACCTTACTTAAGTCACGGGCTTAAGTCTCATGTATATCAGCTGTGTCGTGTTATGCAAAAACACTGCCGCGTGTCTCCGGCTTTAGCGTCTTTTAATTTGTTGGTACGGAAATCGATAAAACTTGAAACGTTTATAAACACCAAAGTGATCTATTTTGTTTGTGCTTATACGCATGCTCGGGATAAATGTGTGTTGGTTAATTCTGGATCAGTGTATAGCCTACTTGCCCGTTTTTGTATATTATTGTTCACTGCTTTATACCATTCTGTATCGGATCTGCAGATCCGTTGAAACGGTTACCGAATATCGTTTGAACGGTTTCTTAATTTCGTTCGAACGGTTTGTTAAAGCCGTTCGTAGAGCCGTTTAATTTTTTGTCTTTACCCGTTCGTATTTTTTACTCAAAACGTCTAAAACGTTTTTATGATCCGTTGAAACGATTTGTCAAAACGTTTACTATCCGTTCGTTAACCGTTTTTTTGCCCGTTTTAATGCAAAATCGTTAACGTACGTTTTCCCAAGGAGGGTCACAAATATCAAAAAAAGTTTTTTGTGACATAAGCACTTTAAGCGCGCGTAGGTTTATAGCGCCCTGGTTGAATGTTCAAAACTTCGTAACTAGATTTACAGCCATGCCTTCGCTTAGAGATAACAATCGTTTTGGCACTGTGAAGGTAGCCGCGGATTGGGTCCCAGATTCGGCCTTAGATTGGACCTCATATTCAACTGTATTCAATTATTCAAAAGTAAATTATTTGAACCCCTCAGTTTCTGGCTACTTTTACTAAGGTATTTTTTACTTTAAATTAGCAGTAACATGAGCAATGCATGCAACGTATCTATCGTATATATGCTGTGCATAAAATAGGAAAATAAGCTTCTTTGTGGGAGAAATTGAACACTGCATGATCGATCAGTATGTTTCAGATTAATAAACTTTAATTTCGATATCGATATTTGACGAAATTCAGCAAACATGGTCATTTCCTTCGTTTATTGCTATAAAATGTTTGAAGCTAGCTTCGCGGTATAAACGGCGTCGCAATTTAACTCACTATGTGATTATTGCAGGGTCCATGCCCTTGCGTTTCTTTGTACTGATCATTAGGATTAACCCACCGGGCACACGACGTTTCAACGTTGAAATTTGGTAGAAAAAAGGTTGCGACGTTCCGCGTTTTATCCCAAAGGATAAAACGCGGATATGGTTCAAAAAACGTTTTCAGCCTTTTTAAAGCCATATCCGCGTTTTATCCAACGCGGATATGGTTCAAAAAACTTTTTAGCCTTTTTAAAGCCATATCCGCGATTTATCCAAAAGGATAAAACGCGGATATGGGCCAGAAAACGTTTTTCAGCCCTTTTTAAGTCATATCCGCGTTTTATCCAAAAGGATAAAACGCGGATATTGTCCAAAAAACGTTTTTCAGCTTTTTTTAATCATATATCCGCGTTTTATCCAAAAGGATAAAACGCGGATATGGTCCAAAAAACGTTTTTCAACCCTTTTTAAGTCACATCCGCGTTTTACCCAAAAGGATAAAACGCGGATATGGTCAAAAGAACGTTCTATAAGGGCATATCTATATGTATAAAGACTATTGAATATTGTCCTAGAATTTGAACAAATAAAAACCAATGTCTCTTCGCTTAAATACTTACTGCGAGATAAGAGTTCTAAAATTACAATTAATTAGTGTTAATAAAGTTTTAATTTAGTGTCAGTTATCTGGTATATGTAGTACTCCAATTTTATGCCAACGTAATGTGCTGTTTTTCAAAGGCTTTGATGTCAATGCAGTTGTCGGTTTAAATATACCTAAAATTCCGTTAAGATATGACAATTTGCCGTACGGCCTATACTTTTACGTAAACGCAAATTACAATTGCAACGTTCATGCTTAATTTTCTCTGTTATCTGGGCATGTAGTAATGTAATTTTATGCCAATGCAATGTGCTATTTTTCAAGGGCTTTTCAATGCAGTTATCGGTTTAAATATACATAAAATTCCTGTTAAGATATGACCTTTGCCGTACGGCCTACTTTTACGCAAAGGCAAATTGACAACTGCAACTTTCATGCTTAATTTCTTCTGTTATCTGGGCATGTAGTAATGTAATTTTATGCCAATGTAAGGTGCTATTTTGCTAGGGCTTTTTAATGCAGTTATCGGTTTAAATATACCTAAAATTCCTGTTAAGATATGACAATTTGCCGTACGGCCTACTTTTACGCAAACGCAAATTGACAACTGCAACTTTCATGCCGTTAATTTTCTCTGTTATCTGGGCATGTAGTAATGTAATTTTATGCCAATGCAATGTGCTATTTTTCAAGGGCTTTTCAATGCAGTTATCGGTTTAAATATACCTCAATTTCCCGTTAAGATATGACAATTGCCGTACGGCCTACTTTTACGCCAACGCAAATTACAACTGCAACTTTCATGCTTAATTTGAAAAATAGCACATTGCATTGGCATAAAATTACATTACTATACATGCCCAGATAACAGAGAACAGTTAGCATGAAAGTTGCAGTTGCAATTTGCGTTCGCGTAAAAGTAGGCCGTACGGCAATTGTCATATCATTTAAACCGATAACTGCATTGAAAAGCCCTTGAAAAATAGCACATTGCATTGGCATAAAATTACGTTACTATATGCCCAGATAACAGAGAAAATTAAGCATGAACGTTGCAATTGTAATTTGCGTCTACGCGTAAACTGAGTATATAGGCCGTACGGCAATTGTCATATCTTCGAATTGTAGGTATATTTAAACCGATAACTGCATTGACATCAAAGCCTTTGAAAAACAGCACATTACGTTGGCATA